CACCCTGTTGTCGGTAGATATTCAAAACTGCCTTCTGCCCCTTAATGCCATTCTTTTTTCTGCCATCAGCTTTGAAATTAGTGGCTTTCTCCTTTTCCAGATACAAACTCATTATGTTCATCTCCAAGATAGCTTGCTTTCAAATACAGGCATTGGTATTTATTTAACTGACAGTAGGGTTGGTTTTTGTTTTGTTTTTTACTATTTACATAAATCTTCTGAAATCTATAATCTGTGGTATTTGAGACTTACTAGAATGATTATGTGGAGGCTATGAGACTTCAGGTTCAAGTGGTCAAAAGTATAATACAGAAAATGACATGACTTGAATATAATATTAGTAAATGTCAGCAAAATATTCTTTTTTTCCCCAAGCTGAATGATGACAGAGGTTTGATTTTAGTGAAATTGTAGGAAAAACACAGTGGGAAATGATGGGTATGAGAACATTATCTTGAGAATTGAGAAATAATTTATAGGTGTAAGTAGAAAGAGAAAAAAAGTGGTAATGAAGAAAAAGGGGAAAAACCAATCCTGTGACAAAGGGTCCTTAGGGTATGGGATTCACAAGGAGGTGAAAGTTTTAGTACCTTTTTGGAACTTTTACCAATAAGGATGATTCGTCACTGAATTTGAACCAAAGGGACTATCTTGAAAAATGAAACTGGATAAGATTACACATAATGTTACAAAATACATTTGTGAAACTTGCCCCACAAAGTCATATTCCTTTCTTACAATATGGCATTCATTAGGTCCTTAATTCATCTTGCCCATAAAAGTTTCCTGAGCACAGGCTAGGTCTTAATCTGTATCTGGCCATCATTTTCAGATACACTATTGTAGGTGGAAACACTAATCCTTGAGAATGAATCTGCCTCAGAAGGCTAGTGCGGGAGCAGTAGTTGAAAGCCAGTTGTTGGAAGCCTGAATTGTTAAGGCTGATGGTCTAGTTGAATTATTAAAAGGAGGAGGATTGTATAATTATTGGAATTAACAATAAACATTCTGGTAACTCTATGCAGTGATTGTTTTTTTCACAGCTCATGTGCTGTGATTTTGTTGTTACTATAATTTTTGCAATGATTCCCTCACTTAGAAGCTAGTTGATAAAAGTTCAGATAAAATAAAGTTGTAGATACTTTTGCTTAAGGTTTTCATTGTGTAAAGTTCGCAGATATAGGTGGGGCAAAAGAGAAAACCTCCCCACAGTAGTTATTTAGACTTCTGTGGCCTTGGGATATACATTGATGCTGCAGACTTAGTTTCAGAGGGAAATACACTTGTGCTGTAGTGTTGGTTCCAGTAACAGCAAGTAATTCTCAATCTGAATGTTCTGCTTTTGACCAATTATTTGCTCATGAAAGTTTATCATGGGATTAAGAGTATCACATATTGTCTTGCAACAGGTTTGGCTGGAGACAAGTGAAAATTATAGCAATAAAAAATAACCCTACTAAAAGGAACCCACATTTTCTGAAGGTTAATCTCTGCTTTTTCTGGGGATTGCATACCTAAAATTTCATTATATTTAAGTAAAATATTAAATAATCTAGATTTGCCTTTTCTTTTAATGTGCAAAAAGAAGAATAAGTCTCTTTTTAAAAATGTTGTCTTATAGCATTACTGGTAGTTTTTAAAGTCATGGTTTATTCAGGGCCACCAGTGCCTACAGTAGGTTCTGAATAAGTATTTGATGAATGAATGAATGATTACAAATTCTTGTCAGAACACATGCAAAATTTATTTACTTTTTCCTCTTCAGGCTGTATAGATTCTTAACCAAAAACTAAAACTGAAGATACAGTGTTAGTAAAATAAGTAATGAAGATAAAGGATACTTTTGTTCTTTGAATATTCAGCCTGTATGGTCACTGCAGTGGGGGGATATAATTCTGATCGTTTTTGGTTCTTACTGAGGGATAAAGAAGAGTCAATCGTAATTTAATACTCTTTGTTACAGGTTTATAAAATACTTATATACTAATTTAATAAGGTTTTGGGTTATGAGATAAAATGTATTACTTTCATAGTATATTATTATATATATGTATTTTTTTCCCTTTCTTCCACAGTTCTTCTATTCTTAAATGGAGTTAGAAATATGTAAGATTAAATCAGCACTCAAATTAATTAGAAATGTCCTATAATTATGTTCATATATTTTGACCCTTTAATTCCATTTTCTGTAATTCATTATAGGGAAATAATCCTAAAGAAATAAAAATTAAAATGCCCAATTATATCCTTTGTAATAGTATTTATAAAAAGGAAAATTTTAAATTATCTATATTAATTTATTAATTGACAAGCAGTATTAAAGTAAGTCTGATTATTGGAGTGGGTTTCTCATCCTTTTCTTCTCTAAACCAACTGTTGCTTGCTTGGGTCTTGAAATTTTCAACCTTAGTAGCTGGTCATTTCTGCGTTAGTGGAGTGGTAGAGCTCAATTCAAGAGTTACTGAGGTAAGAAAGACCTGGCATCAGCCTGAGGTTTAGGGCTAGTGCTTATCTCAGAATAAAAGAAAGATAGGTCAGAATTTAGAAAAGCTGCCAGGTAGCAGCACACCCTTTTCTTGTTCAAAGAATCTTTGTGTGTGTGTGTGTGTATATCTGCACATAAATTTAAATGTCTGGCAGACAAAATGGAATCCTTGTCTCAGTATCTGCTTCTGCAACCCAAATCAATGCCATTCAATCCATTTATTGAGCTTCTACTACATATCAGACCTTGATCTAGGAGCTGGGGATATAGCAATGGGAAAAAAAAAAATCCTACTCCTGTGGGGTTTGGAAAACAATGACTATTGGCTACCTGCTCTTGCATTGCCCACTTATATTCCCCCCGAATTCATAAATCCAACAGGGAGAGGAAATAAAAGCATACATAAATCAAAGCTTCAACAGCCTTAGGGCACAGTAGTAGTAGTTTGTGGTGGCAGAGAACAGAACTGGAGAAGCATAAAAGAAACTTAGGGTCTGAAAAAGAATGATAGAGAGAATATAGACAAAGCACAGACAAAATCATTCCAGAAAGGGAAAACTGGGACTCAGTGTGGTTCACAGCACCAGCTACAGGAAAAGGGGTTGAAAATGAGTGGGATGAGAACTGGCAGCCATAGGAAAGCATTACTTCTGGGGCAGATTCAGGTATACAGCTTGGCAGTGAAAGGAAAAAAAGAAAGAAAAGGGGGAAAACTAAATGTCCTATAGATTAAAAAATTAAAAAAGAAACAAGACATCTCAATTTCTTCCCACTAACACCATCATAAAAACTGCATAGAAAAGGACAGATCTGACAGAAGAGAGTGCTCTCAAACTAGGGACCCAATCCATTAAAAGAATAGTAATAGAACAAAACAGATCACATCTAAACAAAACTGTTTCAAAAAATCAGAAAATATGTATCAATGTATTTTTACTGATAAAAACCTTTTTTTTCCCCCCAGAAAACTCCATAAATTTAAATAAAGCTGTAACACAACATTGTAATCTATATTTGAATATTTTTATTTAGGTTTTTTGGTATATGAAACAAAAAACAAAAGAACACTCTGAATTGAAAATACAAAATCTAAGAAGATTAGTTGACAAAATAAAAGGAGAGTTGATTGAGCTTGATGTGGGGGTAGAAGGAAAAACAAAAGCAAATCAGAAATGAAGATTAAATTGTAGGGTACCCAAGGGGAAATAGTTTCAACTGACTGGTGACCCAAAACATCAATATTTATATTAAAGGTAAATGGTCTAAACGTCAGGGCTTAGAAGAATGGATTAAAAAACCAAAACAAAACACATGACCCAACTATATGCTATCTCCAAGAAACTCACCTTAAAAGAGAAAGTTGACACTTAAAAGAGATAATGACACCTTAAAAGAGAAAGGATAGAAAAAGATTTATCATGTGAACACTAATCAAAAGAAAGCAGCAATGGCTATATTAATAGCAAATAAAGCAGATTTAAGAGCTAAGAAAATTACCAAGGACAGATTAATGGTATACTTTGATAAAGGTTTCAATTCCCAAAGAAGGCATGTTGTTGTTATTGTCATGTGGTGTTGAGTCAGACCTGACTCATAGCGACCCCTCCTTGGGTTTCCGAGGCAGTATCACTATGGAAGTAGATTGCCCAACCTTCTTTCTGAGGAATGGCTGGTGGGTTTGAACTGCCAGCCTTCTGGTTAGCAGTCAAGTGCCTTAGGCACTACGCTACAAGAGCTTGCATGTTGTTGTTGTTGTTTGCTGTCAAGTCGGACCCAACTCATAGCAACCCCTCCTTAGGTTCCCAAGGCAGTATCACTATGGAACTAGATTGCCCCATCTTCTTTCTGAGGAGTGGCTGGTGGGTTTGAACCGTCAGCCTTCTGGTTAGCAGTCAAGTGCCTTAGGCACTATGCTACCAGAGCTCCTATAGCAATCCTAAATGTTTATGCAGCAAATGACAGAGCTTCAAAATACATGAAACAAAACTGGCAGAACTGAAAGGAGAAATCAAGAGTTCTACAGTTAAACTTGGGAACATTAACAGTTCTCTCTCAGTAATGAATAGAACTACTATTCAGAAAATCATCAAGAATATAGAAGTACTCAATGAGACCATCAACCAGCGGAGTCTATTTGACGTTTATAAATATCTCCACCCAAACACAGTAGAATACACAGAATTCTTTTCAAGTGCCCACAAACATTACCAACATAGACCATATCTTATGTAATAAAACAAACCTTAACAAATTAGGAAGAATTAAAATTATACCAAATATACTGACCAAAATAGAATCTCATTAGACATTAATAACAAATGACTGGTGAAATAATTAGGGAGAGTTTCATCTAAATGAAAATCTTGTTTCTCTGCCCTTTATTCTGATTTGTTACTGGCTTGGAACATGGGTGAGCAGATATCTTTTATCTGACAGTATGCCAAAGTGAATAGTGAAACGTGCTAGTTAATTGTTACCTGTGATAAATTGTCTCTCTGTCCTATTTATTTTACAGCATCTCTGTTAAAAGGACTAAAACATGCTAACATAGTGCTGCTTCATGACATCATCCATACCAAGGAGACACTGACGCTTGTGTTTGAATATGTGGTAAGTAAAACAGGAATTCAAGCTATTAAAGTACGAATGGAATTCTTAAAGTATTGTTATTGTTATTAGGTGCTATTGAATAGATTTTCAACTCAGTGCAACCTATATGAGTTAGGGTTTTCTAGGTTGTAGTCTTTCTGGGAACAGTTAGCCAGGTCTTCCTGCGTGTGGCTTCTAGCTGCCAACCTTTCAGTACTACCAGTGATCCTTAAGAATGCTTTTGGGAAACGAAGTGCAGACAAAAAACAATTTTATTGTTGGGTGAACTTCTTTTGATAGTGTGATCACTATCAAAAAGTTTTCAGGGTTCTATGCCGAAGTAATTATTTCATTAGAGTATATAGACTTGCAATTCTGCATAAAGCAGAGGCCCTGTAAGATACCCTTGTATAAGATGTCTCTTTTAAAAAAAGTCCATAAAAATACTTAGTTGAATTTTCATCAGTTCTGTTAACTACTTGCAACCTACTTTTTACTAGGATACCCTCTAATTTTTAGGTTTATTGAATAAGATTAAACAGCATGATGACGTTCATTCTACCAAAGGAAGTTCATACAACAATAAAAATGTTTTTTTTTTTTTTTAGACTTGTAGTTTGGTTTCTCAAAAGCATCCTTATTAGGATGTGTTTTGCAGAGGAAAACTTCTACTTAGAATTTAGACTTCATAGTTTTTTCCCTCATTTGGTATTTCAGCTATTAATTAAAACTTCCAATTTGCATATCACACAAAACAGTGATCTTATTGTGTTGAGGGTGTTATTGGTAGAAGACTTGGACTTGAACTCATAATTAATCTTTCTCTACTTCCCTTAGAAAAACATACGGTATTTGTGCAGCACCACTTCAGCATTTAACTGTGGAATCCTGAAATGTAACCATGATAATTAACATCCCAATTTTCACAGATGGATCTGAGAACATGTAATTTATAAGATACAAATGACATTGTACAAATGACATTTTATTGAGAGGAATAGCTGTTGTATTGTGACTGTATTAAGATCCTGTTTTGTAATTACTACACTACTTTTTTAGAATATTTGAAAGAGTTTTCTATTTTTTTTAATATGTAATAGAATGAAAAACATTTTTATCTTGCTAATATCTGCCGTGTCTGTTTGCTGTTTGAAAATTGTCTTATGAAGAAAGCATTCATCTTGTCTATTTACATATAAATGATAGATACATTTAAATGACATGGTAATGTAGCTACAAGGACAGCTAGAGCTGAGCAGTTGCATATATTACATGCTACCAAGAATGGATTGCATCAATGCAAATATAATTTCTTTTGTTTAATTGATGATTTGGGAGTCAATAGTGTCTTCAGCTGACTTAGAATTTGAATATTTGATTCATGCTTTCCAGTATGTCTAATTTATATATTTCAAATAAATCCAGCTGTTTTTGTACTGTACCTGACTAACTTTTGTAATGTTTTGTGTAGAAAAGAGATGCTCCTATACTAAAAAAGGGATAATTAAATAAAAAGTAAGAAAAATAGTTTGGGCTCTAAAATCAGTAACATTGCTAGAGGAAGTAATAAAAAGTAATGTATCTTTTAAAAATATAACTAATAAAAGTGTCTTCTGAAGTTTAAAAGAAAAATAAGTTATTGTTTGGCTAAAAATATGCATATCGGATTAGCTGTCATTTGATTATTCTATATTCTATGTAATTTGCCAAATAGAAGGAAAGAAATTCATTGCTCTGCAATATTTGTTAAATCATTAAGACTGACTTTTAAACATAATCATTCTTCTTTGTGTGCAATGAAATTTCCTCTAGTCCCAATTCTTGTGGAGGCATCCCACGGCTTCTAAAATCAACCAAAGCTTGGCATGGGCAAATGCCATGTTCTGCTGACAGCATTTCATTCCTAACTTCTCTAGGGATAATTAAGACATGATAGAGATTATACTGTTCTCCCTTAGAGAACAAAGCAAGCTTTTATATTCATGCTTTAAGATTGCCCTGCCTCTTCTTTAATTCTCTACTCCATTTTCATTTTTTTACTTCCCTACTCACAATTTACTTGCCTTCTACCTCTCTACCATTCTTTTTCTTTCACTTTTCTTCACCTCCTGTCCTTTTGCTATCTCTGGTTAAATGCTTTTTGCTGCTGCAACTGAGATTTGCTTGTTTGTTTGAAGTAAAAACTTTTTAAGGAATCCATGAAGTTAGAGTTTGGAGAAAGAAGAGTTTTGGGATGTAGGAATATTTTGTGAGAGTCTTTCCAGTTAGGATGGGGAAGGAGTAGAGTCCTTAAGGATTGGCCTGCCTATGTGACATTTGTCCAGTACAAAAATAACTTCCTTGAATAGTGTTTTAGATATTAATCTTCTGACATGTTTTCCAGAGCTCTGTATCAATATGCAGATCTCTCAAGGAGAATTTGGCTCTTAATATCCTTTTATGGATTAATTTAATGAGATTGCTTTCCTCACAGTATGTTACTGAAATGAACTCAACTCTTTTCTAGCATGTTATATAGCAAAAGAAGAATAACGGTAATTTTGAAGCGTGAAATACCTTAGGAATTAGAGGAGCTTTAAGTGAGGGAGATGTAGGGTACCATGAGAGAGTACTGTGGGCTTGAGATGATGAGTGAGGGATGAAGAAAAGGAAGGGAAAGAATGTTTAAGACCAGTATTACCTCATGGAACTATGACTATTACTGCTATACAGAGGAGAAACCTGAAATTTAGAGGATTACTTTTCCAGGGTCTTGTAGTTTGTAAATAAGATAGCCTTAGACCCATTTTACTGTGAATTCTAATTGGAATATTATATGTCCTGTTTACTTTTTACAATTTTTCTTTGGTTGAGCCTTAGTAAAAAGAGAGAAAAGAAACTTTCTTCTTTCTTTCCACAAACCTTCCTTCTTTCTTTCTATCCTGCACTTAAGATCCTGAATTCAAACTATGTCATCCCTAAACACAGTTCAACTGCTTTATACTTAAAATAAGTTTTGTAGACTGATAAAAAATCAAGCCATTTAAAATTAAGAAGTGTTCTAAGTTTCTACAAAAATATTTACTAGTTACAGTATCAACCCATATTTTCCCTTGTGGTCTCTTTAAACACGCACACACACACACACAGAAGCACAGAACTTTGTTACTTTGCAGGTCCTAAAATCATTATCAAACATTTTGATCTGAAATTACCTAAATATAATGATGGTAATTTCCATAAAAGTTATACTGAGTATTTCAGAATTATTAACATCAAAGTCAAATGTTCTTTTCTTTTTTAAAAAAATTAAGTTCCATGTACTTAATTTTGTTTTTATTTTGTGGGACAGATTAAATTAAGCAGTGTAGGAGAAAGCAATACCCCATGCCCATTTAAAACCATTAGATACACAGAGGAAAATAATGTGTAAAATAAGATTCCTTAGGTATTATTGGCTTTTATTTTTCCATTTTAACTTCAGAATTAAGTGTTCAAGTGCTTTTTGAGATGTCTGTGTAATCCCAGTTCTACAAAGTGAAGGGTTCATATTTATGATAATATATGTGTATGTATATATATATTTTTCTTTCCTTGTTCCTTGCTTTAAAAGAATGCTCTAAGACTACATGCTTTATATTATTCCCACAAATCCCATTTTAGGTTACATGAAAGGCTTCTAAGAGCCAGAGTAATGAAATAAATGATGAAGAGTTAGTGATAAGAAATAATACTTGAGAAAATGAGTTTGGAAGCCATTATTAAAGTGATTCAGTGCATAATAGGATATTGGTAGGGTAGGCTCTCTCTTAAGTACTGTGAAAAGCTCCTAAAAGGTTCTGAAATTGAGAGTCTTACATACTTTGAAAGTATGTAGATAAAATGATCTGGAAGCTATAAGTTTGGGAACATTATGGGAAGTGTGCTCCCCTGGTTGTTCATGTCTCAGTCATGTGATACATTGGCCTCTGTGATGTGTGCTGTTTTGAGAATTATCTTCCCCCAGTTCAGTTTTTGTCAAATGCAAAGAGGCATCTTTAACCAAGGAGTGACGGAATTAGTTTGAAAAGGAATCTGTGTTCATAATGGTCTAAAACAGTTATTTGTTTAAAAAACAAAGCAAAAAATTAATTATCATTGAGTCAGTTCCAGTCCATGGTGACCCCACTGTGTATTTCAGAGTAGAACTGTACTTCATAGGTTGTTCTATTTATTTTCAATACTGTCATGTTTTTGGTGAACCTTTATACAGCACATTACCTTCCCATTTGACAATTTCTACACACATTGTTCAGTGATAGTAGTTACATTTTGCACAATGTGTCAACATTCTCTTTAACTGCATTCTGAGTGTTCCATTTCCAGTACTATAGTTTCCCTGTCCCCTTATCTTTTCATCTTTGTTTGTTGTCATTTTGGACTCACAGATGATTTTTTAATGGAGCACTGTATTCTCCTTTATTTTATGTGCTAGTCCATTATTTCACTACATAAAGGGGTAACTTTTTAAGTTTAAAGAGTATCTCAGGGTGATAGTCTCAGGGGATCCTTTTGTCTCAACTTTTCCACTAAGTCTGAACTTCTTAAGAATTTGAGTTCTGTTCCAAAATTTCCTCATTTTCTATCAGTATTCATCTATTGTGGCCCAGATCAGAATGCTCTGTAGTGTTAACTGGGTACCATCTAGTTCTTCTGGTCTCAGGTTATGTGAAGCTGTGATTCATATAGGCTATTAGCTTTGTAGACAGTTTCTTTTCTGAGACTTCAATTTCCTTCTTTCTCCTTTGCTCATAATGAGTTGTTGTTTTTGTTGTTATGTGTCATGGAGTCAGCCCCGACTCATAGCTACGCCTCCTTGGGTTTCCAAGGTGGTACCACTTTGGAAGTAGATTGCCCAACCTTCCTTCTGAGGAGTGGCTGGTGGGTTTGAACTGCTGGAGTAGACACCAATAATTGTATCCTGGATGGCTGCTTGTAAGCTTTTAAGACCCCAGGTACTACTCACCTCACTAGCTTTTGTAGAACATGAACTTTGTGATAGT